TCCAAGCTGCATAGTAAGACCCTGTACCAAGCACATTAACAAAAGAAAACAAAATGAAACAAAAAAACATATCCCAGCTTAGGGTTCTGGGCAACAATCTTCCTGAGCCTCAGATCCCATGGAAAGAACTGAATTCTAGGTAAAACCATTTAAGGAACTAAATGACATTTAGCATAAGGGAGAACCTAAAACCCTTTCTCTCACCTCCTAAGTCTAGTAATCATTGATGTGTATAGAAAAATACTTTGATAATAAGTTGTGGATTTGGAAACCTTTACTGTGAACTTACCAGTTCACCATAGCTTTGTCCCACCTCATTTCCCATTAGATCCATATTACCTAAGTGGCTATACTTGTTTGCTTGTTTTTTTCTTTTATTTTTTATTCCATATTTTTTTATTTTAAAAAGTAAAAATAAAGACAAAAATAAAAACAAATAACAAAAGCAAAGCAACATACAGCAATAAAAATGGTACAGAATTGTAACACAAGAATAGAAAATTAACATCAAATTTGATGCTCAGATTACCAGATGTCAGTATGTAAAGCTGGCCAAATAATTAAACATTAACTTTTCCTCTCAGTAACCCTTAATTGTTATTCTTGCCCTTTTTACCTTTTATTTTTAAATTTATTTTAAAGAGAGAATAATAATAATTGATAAGACATTAGAAATGGTACACATTTAGAAGAACAAGGTGAGAGGTATTCAACCATGGTTCCTGTACTGCATGTTGCTTTCCTCGATGCAATTGCTCAGATTACAGATACTAGCACATAGAGTTAGCCAAAGTCAAAATTTTACGCATTAACTGCTACTTTCAAAAAACTGATGGAGAGAGTCACCTAGAGAGAAAACATTCTCTCAGGCTTTCACAGAGAGCAAATTGGTCAAGCAATGACCATGACTCATCCACATGGCTGACATTGACAAAGGATCTACAAAACGCAGTACAGGGTTCCAGGTAAATCCTGAGGGGATTTGACTGACCTTGGCAGACACAAAGTTACATTCTTTGTTATATAAGTCTTGCTTTATCTTGGTTTTAACCACCCAGCAGAAAATTATAAAAATGAGGTATAAAAAGTAAAGCAATATTAATATGCTGAGCTGTAAAAAGCTGAAGTCCACAACTTCTAACATTGCCAGTCCTGCCAATAACCCACTACTATTATGGACTACTGGACTACATTGGATTATTTTGTTGAATTCACATACCTACAATATTTAAATGGCAATGGAATACCCATCTCCGACAAAAGTAAAAAAAAAAAGGGGGATATAAATGAAGGAGCATTTTGTAGTGAAATATATGTGTGTGTGGGGTGTGTGTGTGTGTATATATATGTATATACAAAATAGGATAAATATACAGCTACTTTCTCTTATTTCAGTGAGAAGAAAGATTTGTACTAATAGTGTTTGGACAGGATATCATGTCTGTATCTTGTACTAGGAATAACTACTACGAAGACAATAACATGCAATGTATTAATTATTGTAACGGTCTACTAACCTGTCTTGAAACTGTCTCATTGCTATTTGTTTCTCAATAAAATTAATAAAAAATAATTGATGGAAATTAGTAGTACAATCATCTCAGCTATCCTGTATATATACTTTCATGATTTTATCTCTTCCCTTTTTTTGTACTTAAGACAGGATCTACAGAGTCTATAGGGTCGCACTGCGTAGATTATTTTTTATTTATTTATTTGTGTGTGTGTGTGTGTGTGTGTGTGTGTGTGTGTGTGTATGGCCAGCTCACCCCACCAGGGGGTGGGGCTGGCTGGCATGTGGTGCTGGGGGATCGAACCGCGGTCCCTTGTGCTTTGCTAAGCTTGTTCTAAGTAGGTGCTTTAGACCACTGAGCCATCCCACCAGCCCATTTTTAAAGGTTTTTTTATTTTTATTTTTTTGGTGGAACCGGGGATTGAACTCAGGTCCTTGTCCTTGCCAGGCAAGCACTTATTCTACTGAGCTACCTCCCCGGCCCCTCGCACTGCGTAGATTAGACTCACAGTGATCCTCCTGTTTTCAGCCTCCCAAGTGCTGGGATTATAGGTGTGCGCCACCACGTCCAGTCTCCATCACCATCTCAGTGCACCCCACAGGTGGGACTGGCACAGCATGCCAGGGATTGAACCCTGGCTACTGTACTCTGCCTGAGCAGGCACTTTCGTCCCCTAAGCTATCAGGCCGGCCCTTTGAAGTTTTTATTCATTTCTTATTCCTAATAGGCTAAAACTGTAACAAGCAAACTTTCAATTATAAACTGGGCACGGCAGCGCATGAATGTAATCCCAACACTCAGGAAACTGAGGCAGGAGGATCATGGCAATTTCAAGACCAGCCTGACCTACAAAGTGAGCTTGAGGTCAACCAGAACCGCATAGTGAGACAATGTCTCAAAAATAAAATAAAATAATAATAATAATACAAAAATAAAGGAAGAAGCAGAAGGAGGAGGAGGAGGGAGGAGAGAGGAGGAAGAAGAAAGAAAAAATGAGAGAAAGAAGGAGAGAAAGAAAACATTTTTCTATTAAATTCTTTATACGTTTTGGGAATTAAAAAATAATTTAGACTTCATCTTAGTCTGATTTTCTTGTGTTTAAATCTTTTTTTTGTGTGTGTGTGTGGTACTGGGGATTGAACTCAGGACCCTGCACTTGCCAGGCAACCACTAATTCGACTGAGCTATCTCCCTGGCCCATTGAGTTTAAATCTTTACAACAGAAAACTATGTAATTCTTCCATATCTATATTATTTATTATGCCTTATGGCATATTGATAAATATGATCTAGCCCTAAGAATGTCTATCACCTAGAGAAAGGAAGGTATTACATATTTCCTCAAATATTTCCATATTTTCCTTTATATTGCCTCATTCTACAATTTAATTTGGCAAGTTTTCAAAATGAAAATAAAACCTGAAAAATAAAAACCTGCCTATAAGCCAACATTTTGGCCCTAGCCTTCCAAGGTCAATTAAGACTCAGGACATATGAGAACTTGTACTGTAACGTCATGTAACTCAGTAGTGTCCCAAATTTTCTGATCAAGGAGACAGGGGGCCAAAAAGGAAAGTGATCGATGATGTAGAGTGGTCCTAGGAGAGAAAACATTCTCTCAGGCTTTCACAGAGAGCACATTGGCCAAGCAATGGCCGTGACTCATCTACATGGCTGACACTGACAAAGGATCTCCAATCTCAGGTACAGGATCTCAGGATAATCCTGAGGGGATTTCACTGACCTTATCAGACCCAAAAGCTACAACTTTTGTTGCATAGGTCTTGCTTTACCTTGGTCTTAACCATGCAGCAGAAAAGTATAAAAACGAAGTATAAGAAGTAAAGCCATGCTGTTAACGTTGAGCTGTAGGGGACTCAGGTCAACAATTTCTGACATTGCCAGTGAAGCGGAAGCCCCAATACTATTATGGACTACTGGACTCTTTTAGAATATTTTGCTGAGTTAACACACCTATAATATTCAAATAACGGAACTCATCAAAAAAAAGGGGATACATGCATTCTCTTAATGAATAGAATGATTTGTTCTAATGGTGTTTGTAAATAGGATCTCAAGTCCGCATCTTGTACAGCAATTAACCACTAAGAAGAATATATGCAGTGTATTATTTGTTGAAACTGTACTTCCGATTTGATTTGAAACTGTCTCATTGCTATCTGTTTATCAATAAAACTTTGAAAAAAAATTTTAAAAAAAGGGGGATACAGATGAATGTCCATTTTGTATCTGTGTATTCAAAGTGGTTAGGACAGATATATAGTTACATTCTCTTAATGAATAGAGGAATTTGTTCTAATGTTGTTTGTAAATAGGATATCATGTCCACATCTTGTACAGCAATCAACCACTAGGAAGAATTGCATAATAATTCTTCCTAGTTTATTCACACATAAACTAGGAAGTTTGTGAATTGTTGAAATGTGTGAATTATTGAAACTGTCCTACCAATTTGGTCTGAAATTGTCTCATTGCTATTTGTTTCTCAATAAAATTGTGGGAAAAAAAATCTGTCTAAAGTCCACCTCTGTGGAACATGGTAACTTAAACCAGCAGAAAAATTTCAAAAGCAGCAGAACTATAATGATATGAGTTGGCCAGGAAATTAGCTCAGAGGCACAGAACCTTCCTGGCAAGTATGAGGTCTGAGCTTGATTCTCAGTACCAGAAAAAAAAAAAAAAAAAAAAGATGGTAATAGCTGAAGCCAAATGACAGGTTCAGAGGCATTCTTTAGGGTTTATTTGAAATTCTTCATAATAAAAAGGTTGATAAAAGCCATTTCTGAGGCCATGCTGGAGAGTGAAGGTCAATTCTACAATGGTCATGGAATACTGCAATGATGGTAGTCACAAAGCTAGCCTACCCAGCACCAGGAGAAGGAACTACCCCAAAACACACTGTGCCAGACGGAGGTAGCCTAGGCTGCACCCACGTGATGATAGCTGCAAGAGTTAACAGCATGTGATAGAGCTACTGAGTTCCTATATTAGCAGATTTGAAACAGATTTATTGTTTAAATTAGTTTATCCTTTTAAAATGACAATTTTAGCTGTGACAGGCTGCTGTGAAAACAAATATATTTCAAATAGTTTTCAGCAAAATAGATTTAAGAAGTCAAAGATATTTTCAAAAATGTCAGTCCATTTATACTTCTTTCAATATCACAAGTTATGAAGACTAGATTGTCATTTAATACTTTTACCATATTTAAATTTTGACCAGTATGGTAAGTGACTTTCTACACTTCAGTTTTTTTTCAAGGATTATTATAGTCAAATAAAGATCATCCTTGACTACTGAAAACAAAAGAGGAAGAATATACAAGTACCACTAGCAACACTCTAGTGGCTTTCATCCAGTCTTTCACATAATAAATAATATATCCTGCTGACATCAGTAAGAGTCTTACTCTGCATTATATAACTTAACATGGAAAAATAACATGAAAATGAACAATAGCCAACCTGTGCTTTTCTCATGTATACCAAAGGCTCTTTAAGATGTTCAGGAGGTGCAGCAGGATGACTAGGTAAAGGGTACCTACAAGCAGAAAGAGGCAGATAAATATTACACATACCCTTGATAATTAATTTTCTTGGTAAGAAGTTAATTATTTCTCTTTTCCATATTGTGCATTAAAAGGAACATTTGTTACTTAAATCTATGTGTTTACCCAAGATATGATCTACTGAACCTGTAATTCTTATCATATAAATCCCAAATTAAAAATTTAATTATATGTTAAAAGCTAAATTGAATGACAGCCTGAATTCATCAGTTGTGGTAATCACACAAAAGGTCACATGAAAATGATCATAACTGTCAATTCTAGCATATAAATAGTATTAACCTTAAGATGAATTCTTGAGAATAAAAAACTTATTAGCTTGACAAAATATGAATTCATTTCTCCTAATTTCCTTGTCTCTGATTTATATATATATGTGTGTGTGTTTTAAAATTTAAATGATAACATAAATATTACTATTCATAATATCCATATTGTAATAGATAAAATCACAAATTTGTCAATGTAAAAAATCTTAATTCATTATATAATTCTTTGCTTTCCAAGTAATGTTACATTTCTTACTTAAAAATATATTTTTCATAACAAAAGAAATTTAGTTCATAAATATTTGAGCATTCTAGGTACTAGATAAATGGTAGTGATTAAGAAAATACCGATTTTGCTTTTGTTGCTTTTGCTGTCTTCCATGGCCCCTGTGCCATGCCACCCTGTGCTGGAGTCAGCTAGTGAAGGACTGAAACACAAACTGTGAATTTTAAATAAACCTTTCCTCCTTAGAAAGAACAAAGAGGGTCGCAGGGACAGTTCAGTGGTCTAAATGCCTGCCTGGACCAGCGTAAGGATCCGGGTTAGATCCCTGGAACCACATGCTGTGTGTTCCCTGCCCCCAGCACACCAAGCTGGTCACCAGGACCAGGCATGGTGGAACATGCCTGTGTTAATAGTATTGGGGAGGCTGAAACAAAAGGAACACTACAAGCCAAGCTGTGTAGTGAGATCCTATACCAAATACATAAAAAAAAGAAGAAAGAAAGATTGATTCACTGTTCTCATGGACTTAACCTAGTGAAGACATTTAGTTATGAAAACAAAAAAAAGTAGAATAATCAGATAGTAATAGGTGCTATGAAAAAAAATTCAAAATTAGAAAAACTAAAGCAAGGCCATGAAAGTAATTTGGGGCACTGTGGAGGCCTGTGGGGAACCTGACACTTGAAGTAAGACAACAGTGAGAAGGAGCCAAGCTTGTAAAGAATGAGGGGACGAATGTTCCATGCACAGAGACAGCAAACACAGGACTCGTAGGTGGGAGCGCTTAGGGTGTGTAATGAGCAGGAAAATCCACAGTGGTTAGAACAGAATGATTAAAGTGCACACTGGCATGAAATTGCAAGCAGAAAGTCAGAAGGAAAACACACCAGTTCAAAATGAGTCTAAGACTTAAGACTTGTACCTACACCAAATCAACCATGTTCCAATAATCAAGAACCACAGAGTGAAGTCTGAAGAAATTTCTGGCCCAAAGTGGGATGGCAGCATTGAGTTAATGCTCCAAATCACCTGTGTGCCAGAGCTGAGAGGCAAAGGACTCAACTGTCCGCAAGAACATTTCTGGGGTGAAAAACAGCAATCGATCCTATCTAATCTATAAGGCAGTTTTACTAATTGATTATTTCTGGCAAATTTCTTTTTTTTATAAACTGATTCTGTGTACGTTTCCCCACTCAGAATTCTTTCTTTAAGTTGATTGTCTCCAGATACTTCAGTATTTCTAGTCTTACATGTAAGGCAGTTTAAAAACCACCTCACATTGCCTATATCACTTGTGAAGGTACAGTTTTAGTGTTCTAAACCCTTCTGTTTAAATGGTAACTATATTGAAATTTAATAAAACTTAAAAATTTAGGATTAAAATGACAGCATTTATTGATGAACTGTGTATGTGTATGAGCTGTGTCCAGCTCCCATGATTTAATGTTAATGAACATTCCTACTGTACCTTTTGTTTGCTTTATGGGACTATATGAAGGTTTCTGTAAATGTAAAAATGTGACAGAATATGGTAAGCTCACTTTAGTCTTTTGACTTATGTTAGGGAAACATTTCTTCCCATTCTGGATGTGCCCTGCGTGTGAAAAGTGCTTGATTACTGCAACATTTCAGCCTCTCCGGGGCTTAACACTATAGACTTTACTCCAGATAAAGTCTATAGCGTTACCCAACTTTTACATTTGGGAAGAATACACTGAGCATGCTCACCCTGATCCACTGATTTTTGGCTGAAATGTCAAGTCTATTTAATTCTGAAATTCGCTGAGGGGATTGATTTTGCTCCCTGAAAGAGTTCTGCCCTCCTACCTAGTCTTCATCAAGAATACAAGTGTCATTTGATCTTCCATTTATCTATGTGTTCAGAACCCAAATGAAGAAGATAGGATTAGTGAGCTCTGACAAAGACCCCAACAAGTTATTTAACATATTTAAGCACTATTATTTAGATTATTAAAGATATGATAATGAATGAAAGACAGTCCCTGTCATCAACTAGAAAGATAGACTTACATGAAACTGTTTTTAGAAATGTTTCAGATCGCAAAAATAGTATGATGAGTAAAATCACAGGCATCTCTATTATGTTTATTACATATTATCAATTTAAAATCTTATCAGATGTGATATACACATATGTATTTGGTGACTAGTACTACCAGGGTATGCTTATAGTCAATGTCAATTAATAGCTCTTATATCTGATGTTATTTAAGAATTCAAAAACCAGCTGCAGAGGTGGTGATAAGCGAGAAGCAAAAACACTGAGAAAAATTCTGTATCCAAAGTATTTGTCTACAGGCTTCACCTGAGTATTTTAGAACACAGTCTGGTGAATTTGGGTTATCTCATTCCCAGTTAACGGGAGTTTAGAATGGGCAACTTGGAAAAGAAAGTTTAGAAACTTGAAGATGCTAAAATCAGATAAAGTAGTAGCAGTTAAAACAAAAAGGAGATAGAAAGCTGGTAGACCTACGAATGCAGACTATAAACTTGGTGAGAGGTACTGCTTTTGTTTTGTTTTTTTTTATACAATATTCAGTGCCTAGCATAGTACATGGTAAGTACTCAAAAAATGATGCACAATGGGATAAGCCACAGAAGATAATGTGCTGAATGTATATTTTTTATAATGGAAAATAGTTCTATTTTACCCTAAATCTAGTTTTTGTTTTTTTCAGAACCAGGGATTGAACTCAGGCCCTTGCACTTGTCAGGCAAGCACTTATTCTACTGAGCCATCTCCCTGGCCCGTACCCTAAATCTAGATAAAGAAAAACAGTGATGTTAATAATTATACCAATTTTCCAAAGAAAAAAATGCAATTATCTTTAGAATGGTCCATTTGTAAAAAGTTTAATATCCAAAATTATAACAATATAAAGAATGTCAACAGGCTTCAAAATTAAGAGAAATATCCTATTCCCTAATAATATTGGGTGAATTAATTGTTAATATAAGCTTTTTGGTAGTTAAAAAAATAAACTTCACCTATTTATTAGCAATTCTTGGGGAAGACTATAGTGAGTTTCTGTTTGGTTGGTTTCTTTTGAGACCGGCACCACTATGAAATTCAGGCTGGCCTCACATTCATGCACTCCCCCTGCTTCAGCCTCCACATGCCAGAATCACACCCATGTACTGCCATATCTGGTGACTATATTAACTTCTAATTGCATTAACTTACTTAAAATTCTAGGTAAATACCCAGAATGATAAATGGTTATTGTCATGTAAGTTAGTGGTAAACGATAATTCAGTGTATACAGAAATACAAGGTATATAGAAATACTGATTTTATTACTTAGTAAATATAACTAAACAAAACACTATTTCAAAATAGGTGGGAAAAACTCACACATTCAGTTCACTATACACAGCATTCTGAAGTTTCTTCTCCCAACCTGTTTTATAAAAAAGAATAACATGTATGAACATAATACTTTTTTAAGTAAGTATACATCATAGTAGAATTTAACTCACTAAAATTTTGTCATCATGTTCATTTGTGAAAGAATGTTGTCAACTACTAGATACTGTACAAATTAATATTAAAGAATTATGTCCTACACACTGTAGCTCTTGGCTAATACTGAGAAGCAAAGTCATCAACATGATGCTATTCCTTTTTAAATTTTATTACTTATTTTTATGTATTTGGCACAGGGTCTCACTATGCAGCTCAGACTTGTAGTGATCCTCCTGTTTTCATCCTCCCCAGTGCTGGGATTACAGGCACTTGGGCTCTGTGGAGCCCAGCAGTGGGGCCAGAGCAGCATGTGGTTTTAAGGTTTGAACGCCAGTCCCTGCACTTGCATAAGCAGGCTCTTAGTCCACTGGGCTATCTCACTGGCCCATGATGCTATTCTTAAGTAATATTCTTCTACATTTGCTCAAGATGACAGGAAGATTTCCTGTCACTACAAAGGTGCTCAATGAATGCCAGACTCTGTCTGGCTCTTGTACCACAGGATGTGTCAAGGGAAAAGACAAAAATCAGTTTGGCACCTGACATAGATCATAAGTAATTAGCTGTAATTAACTAGCCAGTTAACTGTAGAACAAAGTACATCCTTTCCAATTCTTACCAGAAATAACTCAGTCCTGGGTGCAGGAGTTGGTACAGAGAGATTCCCTCCTTAATCTACACAAAGATTAAAATTTTCTTTTTGTTTTCTTTGAAAGCAAGAGAAAACAGAAAAATTTTCAGCCACATTGAAAATTTAAAAGCAATTTACTTAACTAAGGACATAGTTCCCACACTGAGGATATTTTTAACCAGGAAGACAAACACTATTTAAAACTGATTACTAAAGTAGTCATTCTCAAGTGTTCCTGAATTTTTGTGCCATTTTATTGAAATATGTGATAGTCCCAATTCTGCTCAGTAGTAACTCAGCCACAGGTTTTACAATCTTGAATAAGTGTCTAGAAATGTCTGGCAATACTTCAAAGAATTAGGGGAAAAATTACAAACCTGATATTTTAAAGAATTCTTTTATATCTTCTTTTAGTGATTCAAGTCTAATCTCAGGTCTCTGAAGACTGGCCTAATTAAAAAAATATATATAACAAAGGAAAACACAGAGGTTAAAAATAAATAACTTGGTTTAATCTATAACATTTATGAAAATTTTAAAAGAAAATTTGCAAATATGAGTTGTATTTTAAAAATCTGCTTTAAGGTTATAGGACCTTAGAAGTATGTGAATAGCTCATAAAACAGAAGACTCTCACATGCTTTAAAAATAAGAGTTTCTGTGAGAATATACTTCAGTCTACTAAAAACACAAACTTATAATTCATAAATACTTACTGCATTTGTCTAGGGACTCAAGTGGGAAAGATACTCAGATTTTATAAATGCATTCTCTTAATACTTTATCCAACATATATGGCAGCTATACTAATTGACCGAAATGCTAGTTCATCCACATAAGTAGTAGGTCATGGAGCATGTCTTCCTTTGTGGATTGCTCCTCAATGTAAATGTGTTTGTCCGCATATTTATGAAAAATACATGCAACAGTTAGTTCTTAGATGTTCATTATTAATGTTTCTTTAACCTCCAACTGCATACCTTCTACTCTACTGGTTTTTATCAGAAATAGCATTTTCCCATTTCTAATGACTTAGAAGATTTCTAAGGATGCTCTCGAAGTATTTATCACTTAAAGTTCTCATCACGTTCTAGGAGTATATCTCTTAAGAAGACATTTCTAGTTGGGTATTGCATAAGCATTCCAAACCCAAGAAATAAAAAATTGATATGATCTTCCATTTACTACCTGCTCATTTTCTTCTACTGTTCAATCTTAATCAATAAAATTACCACCCACAGGTTCTTCCAAGTCAGAAATTTCAAAGTTCTTTCCAATTCCATGCTAACTCTTCCATAACTCACCTCCTTTCTAGAATGATAGCACTGGTGGTAGTGAAGTTTTTGTTTTGATATGTATCCCTAATATCTACATTTAAAAATAAAATATACCAAGAAATTAGACAGTAAAACCAAAATTCCAAGGAAATCATTTACAACAACTAGGTGATAACATTTTGTCCACCAATTCAAAATGCAATCACCTGGGACACATATGTATGGCATCAGCATCTGTACAGCATGAAGCAGAGGGAAGCAATGGGATGGCTGATGCCCATGAAAGCAAGGGAACCCCAGCAGCCAGCAACAATGCTCTGGAACACACAATCAGCCAATTCCTTCTGTTACAAAGGCATATCCCAGAGAAAATAAATATTGATAGGGTAATCAAACTACTGGGTGATAGGGCACTAGCTCATTTCCTTGAAAATGGTAAACAAAGAAAAAGGCATTTATCCTGCCTTCCCATAGGAATTGAATCTCTGAGTAGCCAACTAATAAAGGAAGGGAAATGTCTCTTCACAAAACATTGCAACTAATAAGTAAAACAAATATAAGCAGAGTACCACAAGTTTGCAAACAATAAACAACTAGTTCTAAATACTGAGCAGAAATAGCTATTAACAGCGCAAAAGAGAACTATACAGTATGTGCATCTTGATGAAAGAACACTGTCCTACGTAAAGCCATGACAAGGTCTGGTGAAGCTTTGGATCCAGTTGTCAATTAACAACACATATGAAGGACAGAACATGCTGAGAAGGAGCTTACGCTTACAATCAGAAAAGTCTAGTCTGGTGGTAATTCTAAAGCAAAATATCCTAATTCCCTAACTGATAACTTGTAGAAAAAAAGGCGAGAAAAACAAAACATTTTGAAATACTTAAAATACTTGGAAATTATCTTAATTTCCAAGACTAAGCTATATTAAAGGAAGGTGGTTACCATAAACATCAGATCCTCAGGGAAGGGTTTGAGATTAGGATGTGTAAACAGAGAGTATACTGGCAAAGCTTTACTTCTTTCTACAGGGTAATGGTAACAAAGTCACTCACCATAAAATAATACATTATAATTAGTTTACAATCTATTTTATAATAAAATGATTCTTATAAGAAACTGAACAAACATGTCTCCCAGTCTATTCTTTTTCTCCCATCTGCAGTCTGTCTTCATCACTTACTTGGATCACTGCGACAGCCCCTGAGCTGGCTATCTTGCCAGTTTATTCCCTATGTGGCATCCCAAACTCCTTTAACCTACTTTTCTTCTTTCTTAGCATGTATTACCTCATAAAAAAAACCTGTAAGATTGATTTATTCACTATGCTTATTGGATGCTTCAGCCTAGTTACACTGTTAGCCTTCACTATGGTGGACATCTTTGTCCCTTTCACCGTTGTATATCAAATAATCTAGAGTAATTACTTTTACACAGGTGCTCAGGAAATGTCTATTGAATGAATGAACCAACGTCTCCCTTTTCCAATCCATCATGCAGTGTTTTGTTCCTAAAATGTAAGTGTCGTGACCATGGCTCTCTGCAAGTATAGAAATTAAATGTTTCCATAGGTATATTTGAGACCTGTTACAACATAGACCCAATGTATCTGTACAAATCTATCTCCTGCCCCTGTGCTACCAAGCTACTGTGCATCACACAAGCACACACACTATCCTCTAGTTACAATGAGCCCTATTCACTGACCTCCTGACTGTTGAGTCAGTCATTTAAGGGTTCCAAGCTTTTGTTCGCAGCCTTTCCTCAGGTGGAAGTGCTTTTCTGCCACCTTGGCAACCGTTCAGTAGCCTCTACGACATCCCTGGCATATCCCTCCTTTCCCATCTCCAACCAGCAAAGGGAAACATTATGTTCCTCTGTCACAGCAAAGAATAGATTACAATGCAATGTTCAGCTCACTAATTTAACTTTTTGACTAGATTATACATTCAAGGACAAGAACCACATCTTCATTTCTGCATCCCAAGCATTACTCTGGCATTAACTGTTGCTTCACAAAATTATATTAACTAGCCAACATCTATCATTTTTAGCCAGTTTCCTCCCAAAATAAACAAGGAACTTCATAAAATTATTTTTAACTGCACAGAATGGTTTCCAGTCACCCAGGGAAGATTTTAAAAGCTGTAAAAAAATCCCTGCTCATTATTCAACAGGACCAAAGCAAAAGGAAATAAACTTTATTTTACTAGCCTATATTTGGAAATGCTTCAGAAATAACACAATTAAATGAATTTCAAGAGGGAAAATTCTAAGTGTTTTCAATATTTCAAGTTCATTAGACTCCCTAGATACACTTTTTTTTAAACCAAAAGGAAATAAAATTTATTAACCATCCAAGCAAAAGGTCAGTGACAAAAGAACAACATGGCAAGGCACAGAAGTTCTAAAACATGACAGCAGAAAAAAAAATCCTTTTTGCAAATTAAATTGAAACACTATTTGCAATCCTACCAATATTTGGCATATTCTACTGTATAAAACAAACTGAACATGGCATTACTAATCAATAAAACTAATGAGCCTTTTCTCATTGACTAATTTTATGGTATAACTTTATTCTGAGAGAGCCTCAATATCTAATTTATTTCTTTATGCTATTTCAGTTGCTCAACATAAAGGAAAAAGTCCTGATTCACAGAGATAAGTGTTAGCACTTCAGATAGTTTTCCAGGCAATCTCAGCACATTCCCCAGTTAAAATGATACAAGAAATTGAAAGAAAAGTATCTGGAAATTTTTCTTTTGGGGCTAAACCCAAAAGTTATTTATCATAAATGCAAAACTTAGACAAACAGCTTCTGATACTTAAAACTGCTTAAATGAGGTGTAACATGGTCTTACTGCCACGGGGCACTACAGAGGATTTGTCACACATCTCAGTAGTGGGCCACAACAGGGCTGTGCTGAGAACCGCACGTGTGCTTGTGCTGACCGGCACCAAGTGCAGCACACCCCACCGTGGACCCTCTAGGACAGTGGACCAGAAGCAAATGCATTCAAGCCTGCTGTACAAGAGCAGTGCAGCAAGGCAGCAGTACCCCTTCCTCATCAATAGCACACTTGTAATCTAAGCCAGACACAGGAAGAGAGGCAAGAGAGGCAAGAAGTAGAGTAGTGTACTGTGCATACAACATTTGATAATTAATGATTTGACAGTGTTGCTTCTTATTAGAATTAATTAAATATATTAGATAAATAGAACTTTTTGGATATATGAGAATACAATTTGAAAAGCACCTGGTACTCAGTGAGTTACTTGCTTGGTCAAATCATGTAACTTCTCTGCATCTTTGTTTTCTTCTTTAGTCAATGGGGAAAATAATATTTAAATTATTTTGAAAAAGAAAAATTTTCAGTCATTTTTGGATTATGTAGTATAATATAAATTAGAGTTACTGTGCTATCAATACAAGATGTGCCTAGGCAGCAAAGGATTAAATATTTGTAATAGACTGTCTGGGAAGGGAGTTAGTGAGGATGGAGATAGAGGTTTTAAAAATATCTACAACAAAAGTTAAACCTTCTTTTAAACAAAATGCCACTATCTCACTATAAGAGATAAGATAAACTCCAGCAAGATAGTAAACAGAAAACTCACAGTTCCCCCTGTATACATCCTTGCCCATTTATTTATAATGATTCTGACATTCTTCGCCCTTTGGCATCCCTAAAAACATGCGATTTCCTTCCCACCAACAAACATATAAATCCAGCTTCTTTCTCTACTAGAACAGTCTTAACCCAAAGCCTTGCAGCTTGCAATCTTAAATTCTGAATCTTGGTGAGTCAAAGAAACTAGAGAAGGGAAGCAGCTCAAGTAGCAGCTGGGCTAAAGAAGCTGGCGGTAAGCTGAGGCTAAACACTCCCTGAAGCATAGAGCAGCGCAGTGCATAAGAGTCTCAAGGATCGTTTTATGTGCTCCACCTCGGCCCCATCTGCTCTGCTTCTGATAATGCTAACCCTGGACATTGCCTTCTTCACTGCTGATGAATTACAGAATGTCAGAGTTAGAAGGAACTGCGAATATTAGCTGTGACAACTAATCATGAGGCCTAGGATTTAGCTTGGTGCCACAATGCCTGCCTGGCAAGCGTGAGGTCCTGAGTTCAACAGATTTTTGCAAATCTCTTTAATATCTAGTGAAATAGAAGACAATTGGGTTATTGAATTATCATGGTATATATAAATCTGTGATGCTATGTTGTTTGGTCTAATGTACATGAAAACCAAAATCTAGCTTCAATATATACGTAATGTGGAAAAGGTAGTATATATGCTTTTAAAATAAAAACCTTCCAAAAGGAGCACTTAATTCTTACTAAACAAGTCAGAAAAGGGGAGCAAAACAATACAGGTTGAGTGGACAGACTGGGTAAAGGAGTAGAAATGGTCTTATGTACCATTAGTTTGTGGAAAAGCAAAAGATCCACCACAACCCTGGAAGGAAAAAAGGGTGATGAAGCTAAAGCACTTCTCTGATTCTGTCTAACCAACCTACCCGTGCCAGATGGATGTTCCCTAAAAATGACTCTATGTGCCACCACCCCCAGAACACATCTATAACCTTTTACTTTCCATGAAATCAAACTCATTCAGAAATGTATAATTCTCTAAAAGTCCATCTCAACCAATCTCTACTGTTATCTGTACAGAAAGGACTTAGAAACCTGCAGTCCAGCCTACTCCAGCACTGGGATCTCACTCCCACCGTCCCACCTACAGTGCTATGCAGTGCAGCACTTCTTGAATCTCCAGCCATTTCTCAGAATGTATTTATACCTGTTCATTTGCATTCTTCTTTCAGTAACTAGCTAAATGATTCCTATGTGCCAGTTGGAAAAAAGAAAAACAAGACATCCTCCTTCATTTCTAGGAACTCACAGTATATTTAAGAATATAAACAAAAGCTAAAATAGTATCATTAAAAATGATATCGTGCCATTTCCTTTTCCATAATTTCCAAACATCCTTATCATTAACTTAATTGCTTTAGACTTTGTCTAATTTCTCGCAAGAGTCCATCACCACCACAGAGGAGATGCTCAATTAAAACAGGTTGAATTAAGTCTCTCCATTTCTTCCAAATACATTTGGTTCCTTCTAAAATTGTAGACCAGACTTGTTTCTGTAATCCTAGTAGTCCCAGTGGACATGCATTGTAGCCAGGAATAAGCTTTAGTTTCAGATTGGAAGTTCTGGCTCTGGGAAAGCTGACCATGCCTTACACTCAATCTGTGTTGTATAATTGAAGCCCTGCTCTGGTTTCTTTCCCCCCAAGATGGATCCCTCACTAGCTTCATTTGCTGATGTTCCCACTCTGACCTAGCTTTCTGCCAAGAGTGGCTGTCTTATCTGCCTTTGTCTATATCTTTACTTCTTAGCTTCTTTACAAGGTATACTTTCTGCCTACAATTGTCTTCAGTTCACATTCGATAACCAGTCTTCTCCCTCATTTCAACTTGGTCTTACTAATTCAGTTCAGAAGCTCTACATGACTTTTTCTAAGCAACTTACTGCTGAAATAAAACATGAGGAGATACACTTACACAAGACAAGCCTACATTTTAATATTTATCTTACAGTCCAAATACATGTATTAAACTCAGATACAAATATCATTATTTTGAAATACTGTACATTATGATTCATTTCTTCACTGCCTACTTTCCAGAATTAAAGGACATGACAGCCAAAGTAGAAATGCATAAGGATAACATCACTTCATGTTTCATATCAAATTCAGAGTTCCTCAATTATTTATGTATTAACTGAAGTAGTCCAATCTTTATCTAACCAAAGAGATATAAAAAATATAGAATATATGAATCTCTAATCATGGCACAAGCTGTTCAGTACCAATGTATGTTCTATATTGCTGAGATACAATTTCATAAGCTTTTTAGTAGGAGATATTACTACTGAGATACTCTGGGGTTTGAGATGTATGACAACAACTTACTGTTGTGTTATTCCTTTGCTCTCCAAAACCTATCTTCTTTTGAGTTCCTTCCTTTCACAATTGTATTATTTTAATGACAATCTGAATAATAAGACTTATTAAATGCTTAATGGGATGGAAATAACATTTGGGGTTTTATACAGCATCCATGTTAAATACAAATAAGTAATGACAAAACAAAATAACAATGCTGATGTGGTATTTGATGTCAATTTTGGAATTAGACTATTACTACAATATCTAAAAGATGACTAAAAATTGAATTTTAAGATGCAGGTTAACTTCATAACAAAATAACACAGGAATATTCAGGAAACAGCTCTCTTTTGAGAAGACTTTAATATATAAGACAATATGTTAAATAAAATATCAGTGTTTAAATTATATATGCTAAAATAGGAATGCTAGTGGCTGGAGGAAAATCTAAAAACCACTTATACTTGACTTTCAAATATTCTATGTAATTTTATTTTTCTAATTAGGTTACTATGCAATTTCTGAGTATATTTGTTATAGATTAAATATGAAATATCCCCCAGTCACTCGCGTACAGTAGCTTTTTCTCCACACAGCCATGTTTAGAGTTAGGGTAGAAGTAACTGGGTCGTGATGGTGCTCACTGTATCGGTGGACGCATGCACAGTTGCTGGGGGCATGTCCCTGAAGGAAACATCAAGTTCCCTGCCCTGTCCTCAGTTTCCCACTGCTTCTTGGCTGCCGTCAGGTAAGCCGCCTTGCTCTACTACAGGGTCCCTAAGCATTATGTCCAGTCTCACCCTTGGGCCCTAGAAATAGAGGAGCCAGCCAACCACGGACTACAACCTCTGAAACTGAGCCAAAATAAGTGCTTCTTTTTTCAAATTGATTTTCTCATGTATTTTGCCACACTAGCAAAAATCTAACACTCAAAATGAGAAAATAAAGTACAAAAGATGCAGGTAGCAGGAAAATATGCTCCTGCTTAAATTTTAAAAGACAAAAGTAAATAGCCAGAATTTATTATAAAATTACCTTTTAAGAATTATCTGATTTCTATTAAACAACTGTATTAACTAATATATACAAAAACAAAACTGATAGACCAAGATTTCCAAATCCAAGTCTGCATTGTTTTTGACACAGGGACTCCTTATCTTCTTGTCTCAACCACCAAAGATGTGCACTACATGCCTGGTTTGCATTGTTTATTTTTTAAAAATCTACAGCTATATTCTTTTAAAGTACAAATCTGTAGTATTATCAACTTCTTATTTTACTTTAACAACTGGCCACATCTGTGTTTCCGGGTTTCTCACGTAATCACCTCTTTATGCTCCTTTTCTCCCCAATCCTTGCCCAATGCTCCATGACTTCAAGGCAATGAACCTCCTGATTTATATCTACAAATCCAAATCCTTTATGGAAAAACCTAAAACCTGAAAAGTTGTTGTTGTTGTTGTTGTTGGGTTTTCTTTTCTCTTTTTTCTTTTTCTTTTTCTTTTTTTTTTTTTTGTGTGTGTTTTAGGGAAGGGTTTACAAGGTGCTCAGGGTCTCACTACTAGATCGGACTCACAGTGATTCCCTGTTTACAGTCTCCCAAGAACTGAGATTACAGGCCACACCACCACACCCAGTCTCAATCACTGGCTCAGTGTGCCCTAGGGGCAGGGCCGGCATGGCAGACCCCGGGATCAAACTCCCAGCCCCTGTGCCTGCTTGCAGGTGCTTTAATCCACTGAGCTATTTGTCCAGCCCTTTTGAAAAGCTTTAAAAAATAAGTTTTGCCACAAATAAACTGATGGCAAAATCTGTCCTGACTTGAACTCGTTAGTAGCAAAACCTGATCTGACCTGAACTGACAAATGACTATTTTTACTCCTTATTCATCAGACTGTGAAAATTTACACTTTGCTGCAGAAATATTAATATAGTTATAATTATAAAGTGCTGCCAGACCCTGACAGGAACAGTAAATAGCATAAAGAATATATCTGAGTTAAGTTTCTAAAATTTAAAAAGATAGGAATTTGTAAACATGAATGGTTCCCACATTTTGGATAAGGAATTAAGAATTTATTTATAACAGAATCATCTCTCCATAACAGCTTACTTTTATTTTACTCTCTATTGTATCCCATGGGACCAGAATTGTGTTTGACATGGAGTAGAGTCTCAATAAAGACAGGTTTAATAAATTAATGATCATAAGTAGAGCTTCTGAGAATAGAATTTCTTCAAGGCTGCAAACACAAAATCAAGTTTTTGTACATATGGATCCTGAATCACTTATTTGAAATTGTGAAATGTAAAAAGCTTTGAAAATAAAACTTTGCCATTACATTTTATTTTCTGAAACCTTAAGATTTTCCACAAATTTGGAAACAGATATTGATAAATTTGATCTCAGAGAAAACAGAGTTCTACAATAAAGTTTGAAATCCTTAAGAGCAAGGATAATTTTAGTTTCTTTTATTACCTAGTGAATTATCTGGCACATAATAGGTAATCAGTACATAATATAAGAATGAACCTTACAAAGCAGAATGGAGAATTAGTCCATTTAATACATACAAGTTGAGCTCCCCTACTGCACAAGTCACTGTGCTAGCTGTGGAAAGCAGAAGAAGAAACACACGGTCTCTTCCAACCTCCTAGAAAGATTATACTTTAGTTCAGAAGACAGACATTGACTATACATAGATATGATGCTTATAATAAAAAACAAAATACCTGGTACAGTCAATCACCAAAAGGTACTGACTTCAGCAGAGAGGCCATGGAGACTGATTATAAAGGAGGAAGCGGAATTTATCTGGGTACAGTGAGGCAATGTTTCAGGCATAGGAAAGAGCTTGTGCAGCTATGGCTGCATAAGGGAGGGTGAAGGGCGGAGCGCCAGAGAGGCCAAGTGAGTATGAGCCAGACCTTCAAAGGTATTTAGGCCACATAAGGGCAATGAGAAACGTCAAAGGTTTTAAGTAAAGAAACATCTGCTTTGTCTTCTATTTCAGTGTACTGGAGACTGAACACAGGACCTTTGCACTAAGTTATATCCCCAGCTCATTCATCCTCCCTCCCTCTTTCCCTGTCCCTCTACCTCCCCTTCCCCCTCATCTTTCTTCTCTCTCTCCCTCCCTCTGTCTTTCCTTCCTCCCTCTCTCCCTCTGTTGCTCTTTCCAGGTTCTCCCTAAGCCCCAGCATAGTTCAAACTTGTGATCCACCTTTCTTGGCCTCCCAGCCTGCTGCGATTACAGGTGTGGATCACCACAGTCAGCTTCTTTGGACTTTTAAACAACACCCAGATTTCCTTTTATAAAGTACTTTTCTATTCTATGCTCGAAAAATGGAATGGATATTTCCAAGTTGGATGGAGTAGCTGGTAGCTGATTAGCATCCCTGCCTAGAACAAATAGTATAACCCGCTCATAGAATACACACACACACACACACACACACACACACACACACACAATCTACTTGAAGGTAGAAGAGAATTGCTGTAACAGCTGAAAGAATTATTGTAACAACTGAAAATCTTGAAACATGAACTGGCTATGATAATCATATTTTTTTTCTGGGAACTTTATTTTTTTTAAGGAATGAAGGAAAGGTTTATTTAGCTCACAGTTACTGGAGGTTTCAGTCTGTACTCAGCTGGCTCCAAGGCAGAGCAGCACATGGCAGAGCACAACCTTTCATGGCAGCTGCACAGAACAAGAGCACAAAAGGAGGAGTAGCAGCAGGTCAAGCAGCTAACTTCTTTTTTCTCCTTACATTGAAATGCAAATTACCTGTCCCAGGACAGGTGCAGCATCCATACCCACAATAATCAATCACAAACTCCAGCAGCTGCCCCAAGATTGCATGAGGCTTTGGGGGGAAATCTGGACACAAACCATGACATTCTGCCCCTGGACCCCCCAAAGACTCATGCTCATCCCTTTATGCAAAAGCCATTTTAGTCCATCTCTAAGAGTTGTCAAAGTCCCAACAGTTTCAGCATTGCTGAAAAGTCCAAGTCCCAAGTCTCCTCCAAGATCCAAGGCAAACTCTCAACTGTGAGCCCCTGTACAAATGAAAAGTCTAATACAACCAACATTCAAAGACACAAGATAAACATTGCCATTCCAAAGGTTACACACAGCAGGATACCAAGCATTGGGACCAACAAAGTCCAAAATCCAGCAGGGCCAGCATTAAGTCCTGCGGTTCCATGTGGGACATCCAAAGCAATCTGTGATGAGTTGTGATTTAAGTCTTCCAGGCATGGACAAGAACCTAAGAATTGACAAACTCAGTGCCAACCTACCAGATTCTACAAAGGGCAGACTGAAAAATAAGTAGAGCTTCAGCAGAGACATTAGAAGTCTTAAACATATAACTGATTTTTCTCACCAGATTTTTTGAATACAGTGATGGTGTGATGGAAGGCTAAAAACCTAAGTGGGAAAGAATGAGGAAGCTTTCTAATAGCCTAAAAGAAAAACATTAGACTTTGGGATTTGTATTAGTTAGCATTTCCTGTCACTGGGACAAAATACCTGACACCCACAAATTAAAGGGGAGATCTAATTGGGCCCCCAGAACTGGTGAGTCTGCGGTGGGCTAGCTCCAAGGCAGAAAAGGCCTGGTAGAAGGGCCTGGAGGAGGAAAGTTGCTCACTGCCCAGCAGCAGGAAGCAGGGAGAAGGGAGGGGCTGTAGAGGGAGAGACACAGTCCAAAGGAATAGGCCGAGTGACATACCTCTTCCAACAAGGACAGTGCCTAACAACACATTTTGCTATAAATTATCATGGGTCAATCCATGGATGAGTTTAATGCAACCATGTCCGGTCATCCTGCAAAGCCCCACCTCTGAACACAGGAGACTCTTAGAAGACTACTTCTAAACATAATAGGACCCAAGGAAGAAGGGATCTAAAAAATACATCAAATACTTTGTTGAAAACCCGTCGAGCCAAGGAAGAGGCAGAGAAAGACAGACTTTGAGAGACTATAACCCAGACTCAACACATTCCCTAAATGGATACTGTAAGGAGTCACAAGTCCTCTCTGGAGGTGAGGGTGAACCTCTGTACAAAAGACATCATTAGGAGATGCTATAATTTTTTGAGCAGAATGTACATTTGATAAAAATTATTCCTAATAGAAAGTCTATTAGGGAAGGGAATAATAAAAGGGAAGTAAATGAATAAAAAGGGAAAAGGGAAAAACAACCATAGAAAGACATCTGTGAATGATTCAGATACTGGTGTTAATGGTCAAGAACATTAATGATGATCATTAATGATGAATATCAACATTCAGCTGCCCCAGAAATTTTTTTTAAAATTGATAAACAACAGATAAAAAGTAGATAACTTTCCCTGAGAATTGGAATAATTTGGAAATCAGAACTAAAAATTACACTATGTGAAAAAGAGCTCTTTAGATTAGACTAATACCACTGAAGCAAGATTCATAAATTAGAAGGTAAAAAAAATTATCTAAATTGAGCTGATGCAAAAAAGAAAAATTCAGATAAACTATCATTAGAGATATGGGACTCAATATCTAATTTTCAGAAAAAAAAAGAGAAAAATGCAATTTAATAAATACTTGAACAGATAATTGCCAAGAATTTTCTAAAATCTAGTAAGAGATATCTACTCTAGATTTAAGAAGCACCATAAAACCAAAGCAGAATGAATTAAGTGAACAATAATAATACAAATAAAAACAATACCTTACCAAAATACATCCCAACAAGTCTGAAGAAAACCACAGACTGAAATAATACAGCAAACCCATCTGGGTAGAGCTGGAGGATATACACTCACACTCAATGATGGCTGGCTACTCAACAGAACACAGAGTACAGAGACAATGTATGACTCCTCACCACACCGGAAGAAAATCACCTCCAACTTAGAAAGGTATAGGCAGAAAAGGATAATCCTTCAAAAGGTAAGACTGCATAAAGACATCATCAAAGGCCAAGGAATTTAGGGTTCAGTGCAACTCACAGGAATAACATGTGCTAAGCATTCAATGAGGCCTTAGGTTCAGTCACCAACATTTCCCAAGCAAAAAAATAAAAAATAAAAAAAAAATTAAAAAAAAAGGAATGATCTGGCACTGTGGGGAAAGCCTGTAACCCCAGCACACATGAGGCCAAGGCAGGAGGGTTGCCAAGAGTTAAGCCCAGCATGGGCTACACAGTGAGTTCAAGGCTGGCCTGGACCACCAAGCAAGACACTGTCTCAAACAACAGCAACAAAAAAAGAACTAACAAAACCTAGGAATTGGGGCTGGTGAGATGGCTCAGTGGTCTAAAGCACCTACTTGGAACAAGCTTGGCAAAGCACAGGGACCGCGGTTCAATTCCCCAGCACCACATGCCAGCCAGTCCCGCCCCCTGGTGGGCTGAGCTGGCCACACACACACACACACACACACACACACTAAATAAATAAATGTTAAATAAATAAATAAATAAATTAAAAAAAAAAAAACCTAGGAATTTGTCAGCAGGAAATTAGCCTTGAAAGAAATACTAGGAAAAGTTCAGAACAAGTCCACCAGACATCAAAATGGAAGAAATTGGAAGCCAAACACCTGAAATCATTACATTGATAGCAACTGAAAGAAAGAACTAACTCCATGTAGGTATAGAGGAAATCAAATCAGAAATAATTTCTCCAGTAAAAAAAGAAATGATAACCATAATGAAAGAATTTCTGAGCATATCTAAAGAAGACATAGGTAAAAAAAATTAGGAGCATAAAAAAGATGAAAACTTTGAATGAACAATTTATGAAAGAATTAGAATGTATGAAACAGATTCAAAGAGATATCCAAGAAATTAAAGACCATAAAAAGCTGGGAAAAACTGAATGAAACTGAAGACAGACTTTCAACCTTGAAGACATCACTGCAGCTAGGGATGATGACAAGAAAGATCTCTTTAAAATAACAAGGAGCAGCAAACAATAATTCAATAGTTGCAAGGTGACAAAAGAACAACATAAGACTGATAGGAGTGCATAAAAAGAAGTCAACACAAATGACATAAAAAGAATATGTGCAGAATTGGAGACAACGTCCCAATCATGGCAAAGGAATCTGACAAACAGATGAGATATATAGAGCCCCCAATTAGCATTAACCAAAATAAATCTACACAAAGACATGTAATCAAGATCCTAGAAATTCAGCACAAGAACAGCATATTAAAAACTGTCAGAGAAAAGAACAGATCACTTGTAAAAGAAAACTCATCAGAATCATGGCAGATTTCTCAACACAAACTATAAAGTCAAGAAGAGTTTGAAGTGAAGTATTTCAAGTCCTGAAAGAATAATTTCCAACCCAGATTGATGTAGCCCACAAAACTATCTCTCAAAATTAGTGAGAAGTAATATACTTCCATGACAAGAAACAACTAAAGAAACTCATGACTATCAAACCAACCCTACAAAGAGTACTGGAAGATATTCTAGAAAGAGATTCAAAATCAGAAGAGAAATAACAAAAAGAAACCATCACACAGGAAAACAAATTAAACACAGGGCAAAAGTAGGGAAAACAATACTCCATGCACCAAGAACCACCCCTCAGAAAAATTGATAGATATTCTTTCATAGATAATACAAACTTCAAACCAAGAATGATCAAAGGAGATAAAGAAGGTCACTACATACTTGTCAGGGAAAAACTTCAAGAGGAAGACACAACAATCATAAGTATGTATGGAACAAATATGGAAGC